GTTCAGCAGTTGTAACGGGGGATCAGACGAGTGGGAATAAACTGATGTATAAATAAAGTAAAATGGATATTGTTCTTTGAAGTTCCTTAATTAACGTTGTCCAGAGAAACCCCAAAACCCACCAGAAGTAGGGGAAGGTGAGGAGAAAGGCTGATAAATGTGGAAGGCTAAATGAAGCTCGAGATGCACACTACCCTTTCTGGCAATAGGGTGAATACTGATTCATTTTTGCCAGGGTTTGCTTTACATCCTGCTCAGGGCTGAACAGTATTATTATAGCTCTACTGATGTTCTAAAATAATTGTATTTATCTCTGCAAGCGCAATGACATTCATGATAACACCGTTAATGTTACAGTTCCTTTCTGGCGCTTCAGAATAGCTACAGCTTGCTCATGAGTAACACCTTCCAAGGCTTCCCCATTAACTGCTAAAATCTGGTCGCCACGCTTCAGTCTGCCATCATCCGCAGCTGCTCCCTGCAAACGGCAAAGCGAGGCATTAGCGGCTGGGAGGATTGGTGGCTGGTGGGTAGTTGGGCCCCCCCCCGCCTCTCACAATGCTGATGGATGAAATGAGGAGGGATGCAGCACCGGAAATCCCACCGTAACTGGGTGGCGAACACGGGAAATGACAATGCCGAAGTCTCCCTGAGTGCTTCAACCATTGCCCATCACTCACCCCACTTACCCCAACCCCCTAAGGTCTGGGGCAGCGCAGGCAGGTGATACACCCCTGGGAAGAAGAGAATCATCTCGTCCCTGAAAAAACTGCAGCGTAAAGACTGGTTCTGGCTTTTATGATTAGGGACAGGCTGTTAAAGCAGCATTTAAATGTACTCTGCACCCAGTGCTGAGAAACGGGTTAAAATGTGGGGAGGGAGAGGGATGCAGATCTCATGCAGCAGAACAGCCTGGGCACTGCCCCAAGCCCCAGACAGAACTGGTCTCCATTGAAGGTCCTGAGAAGCTCCCACAGAGCTTTAGAAATGGCTGTTCTCCTCCAGAGGCCTCAGCGCAGCTCTTATCTAAATCCCGAGCCCTGCCCTGCCCAGGGGTCGGCTCATGGTGTCCATTTCTCCTCCATGGCCTCACCAGTGACTGCAGTGTATTTTAGCTTCGACTTAGGGTTTCTCAGCTGTGCTCACATCTAGAAACTTGTAAATCTAAGCATCAGTTTAAAGACATAGTATCTTCCCACGTTAATAACTGAAAATTGTAAAAAGTGGCCAGAGCCACTGCCGTACCTGGCTGGGACCCCCAAGTCCTCCCCTGACACTCAGGGCTGGGGTCAGAGATGGGCTGAGACAGCCATGCCGTGAGCGGCTCCAGCACATGGGAGCGGAGTACTCACGGAGAGGCATGAGAAAGAAGCTGGAAGCAAGGGAGAATAACTAAAGCCAGGACCAATGTGTAAGCCAATTCATTATCAAGCCATGAAGTATGGCGTTTCCATCTTTCGATGTTTTTTCTCATTGAGCACAGGAGCTTATTGCTGGTTTTGCAGCTGAAGCTCAGCCACAACAATACAGCATCTCTACAACAGTCTCCTCCTCCTGTACAGTGGGAAAAGTGATGCCTCCACACCGCTTGGAAGGCACTTCAAGATTTACAGATACAAAACTACCTTATAAATATTTTAATGTATAAAACCAAGTTTCCCAAGTACACAGAGCAATTTTGCTGAGGTAAAGTATCTTGTTTCAGCCATCAGTAATGTGAAATATAAACTGAGAAGCCGGCTGTGAGTTCTGGGTCCACTTACTCACATCAATGTACTTAGTACATTATTTGCTTTCTACTACATAATATATTATCCAAGCCAAACCTTAGGTTTACTTTTAAAGATAATATAGAAAAAGGGAGGAAATGGAAAAAAAAAAAAAAAAAAAAAAAAAAAGATACCTTGGCAAATATAGTCTTGACATAAATGGGCAGGTCTCCATGGGGACTTCCATTACCCCCTACAATACTAAATCCCAGTCCATCAGAACCTTTCTCCAAAGTAATAATCTTAGGCTGAGGTGCTCTGAAAACACAATAAATATCACTTAGAATAGCAATGTCTGTCTCTGGGGACTTTATGCAGAAGGACACTTAGAGATATTTATCTATCAAGAAGTTTTTCATACAGTCAGAAACCATGACTCTTGTCCTTGTGCTGAAATACACTCCTGCACAGCCCAGAGTTCAAATGCTGTTAGTGTACTTCAGCTCCTCACTTTGAAAATACTTATTTTTAATAAGAGCTCAACAAGAGCACTTATCTCTGATGCAGAAGAGAGACTCCCTTCATCTGCAGTTGCTGCACGTACGTAAAGGAGAGTTTGCTTTCTTACCGGCCAAGCTGTCATCTTTAGTCTGCATAAGCGGCCACTGCAACAATTTCCTTACAGCATAATTTTACTTTATGACTTCAGAGGAATGAGTCTAATAGACAGGGTGCAGCCAGGAATGCTTGTGTTTACAGTCTCAGCTCTACTGCAGGCTCTTCGAGCTGTTTTCGAACAACCTATATTTGACCTACATCCCTGTGCCTTGTAACTCCAGAGGCTGACTCCTGAGAGCCCCTCACTCAGTGCATTGCTTAGACCCTGCACGGCTCTACAGGGGCTTTTACCATCTGCATTGAGCAAAGGGAAGATCTTTAGTGGAATTTAGACCAGTCATATGACTATAACCATCTCAAATTTGAAAAAGTAATTTCTACATATTTAGAAAAAATTATTGTGGACAAAAGCTGTTTGGCATCTTCCACCTATATAAAGGTGTAGCCTATGATGACTAATACCTAGCCATTTCTTTAGGACAGAACGAATGCATATGCCTACCTAATTCTGCTTCATATTTTCACTTTCAAATTTCCTTACTATTTTGATATGAAAAGAGAATACAAATCCTTTTGTGAAGTAAGCAATTCTCCTTTGAGAGCATCAATAAAAACAGTTTCGCACATTGTAAGACTAGAGAATGCAGCATAAATAGCTTAACTTTTATACTAAAAACCCCCGATGTAGGGCAGCAACTTGCATTTTCAGCTTCTTAAATAAATATAATGAATCAAAGAACGAAAATGAAGAACATAATGAAGCTAATGAACCAAAATGAAAATCACATGAACTTCAAAATGATAACTGGAATGCTATAAGCTGCCCTAAAAAGCACATGATGGAGAATGATGCATGGCCATGGGAGGGCTAGATCTCTTAACTTCCATCAACATACAGAAGTACTGTAAGTAGAAAAAGTTTCTAATCAGACTTTTTCAAATTATAAAGCTAAAAAGATTCAAAAGACAAAGAAAGTTCTGGGACATGTTTTGAAACATTTCTCTCTGATACCAGGCTTTTTAACACCTCTTGCCTTAGTCTGCCAATGACAAATTATTTCAAATTGCTAAAGTCATAACTCCTTTGAGGCAAGGAAGCCAACAGACAAGGGCAGAACTATCATGTCAGCATAACACATTAGAAAAGAAAACAGTTTTGGGGTTGTTTTTTGTTTGGTTTTTTTTTTTAAAATGTCCAGTACTAGTGTTTGGCAACATATTTTGTGCTTGTTTACTCAAACAACTTCTGACACCAGGTGAAGATTGACATGAGTCCATAATCAGCCCAGAGAAGGTCACAGTTACCATTTTAAAGATGATGGAAAATTAGAGAGAAAAGCAATGGGAGAGACCTCCTTCACCAGCCTAGGCTTTTCCTTTGCATGGGGCATAGAAATCCACTTCAGTCATGCAGACCAAGTACAAACTTACTCAGGATCTTCGGAAGGATGCTCAGAAGAGTTAAGGTTGCATCCTGCAGACATGCTCTCCAGCTGGGTAGCAATGGCACTGATGTTGGTATCAGCCACAACCTAAATAGAAGGATGCAATGAAGTACTATGTGCGTTCACTTAATACCAAAGACATCTTGGCTAATTATGTAGAAAATAGCCCATACATTAGGAAAATCAATCGTTGATTTTTTTTCCAAGCAAATTTCAAATACAAGTTCTACTCTCCTAAATTTCCTACTAATCCAACACTTTAAAATAATAGAGTTAGTAGTAGCCACCTTTCTGGAGGTTAAATGCAAACTTTGCTCTGAAGCTTTCTCTTGCCTTCACATGACTATCACTCAGATGCTGAGCAGAGGGGAACAGTCTTCTGGATAATCCAGAGAAAGAGGTTACTTTGTCAAGGAAATAGGTATGTCTCAGAGTCAACACAAGCCCAGTCCTGGGACTGGGCTTAAAAGTAAAGGTCTCCCACAGACAGCACTTTAGCCTTTAATAAAATACAAAGATCCAAGGGTCTATTGGACTATGGGGCAAAGGCCCTGAAATACCTCAGCTTAGTTTGTTTGCTGAGTGGAGAAGAAATTAACCCTTGGTTTCAACTTTTCTGCAATTTCCAGCATAAATCTAACAAACTGGAGTCTTAAACTTCCCATTTCTGGCTCCTGTATTATTCTGAAACCATCATGAATTACCACCACGCAGTAATTAATAGAGTTAATGACATTTTGACAGGTTGTGGGGCAGCAAACGTGCTCAGGCTTTTTAAAGCAACCATATCAATGTTGTATAGGTTAGTTACAAATATGACTATGGCTGTATTGAGAAAACAGTTACTTGCATGCTGAAGTCTGGGGTTTGCCATTCACAGGGGTTTAGCCTCATAAGGGTAAAAGCTTGCAGCTTGCAGGTCCAGTGGGATGTATCACACACAAAGTGTCAATGCCCACTCTAGCCTTTTTTTTTTTTTTTTTTAACCTTTCATTGCATGCTAGTGTTCTATTCTTTGCTTTTTTCTGGAAAAAAAAATTGAGGAAACCACTATATAGTGTTTTGGATTTTAAGTATTCACAGCTTTAGGCATCAATTTTCTAACAACTACGTGCCGTGGCTATCCCCTAACTCCATCTCCTTCTGATGAGATATTCTTCTCTGCTTGAGTTTCCTGTACAGTGCAGGAGTTTGGCTCAGAGACAGTGAGAAATACCCAATAAGTATGTTTTCAATATTTCCTCTAGCTATCTATGGCCTTATTTTATCAACATTGACAGGTACTTTTTCCAGTCCTTGCTGTGAACATGGCTTAAGGGATATGTACCTTCTCAAAATAAAAAAATCCATTATAGAAATCCCCAGTTTTAAATGAACACTCACAATTCTTCCACAACAATATTTCCCTCTTTCTAATCACTGGGAGCCAAGAGGGTGGTAGCATTTTCTAGGAAGGAAGATTAGTTCACATGCAAATTTTGCATCCCAGGACTCAGGTTCTCGGATGCCCTAAATGAAGGGGTCCGGCAGACAAGATAGCTGCACCTGGCTCAACCAGCAAAGACACCGTTAAGTTTTCCTTCCCGTCGCAGTAGGTGCCAGCCCGTATTTGTCGTATTTTGTTGTTAAATAAAATGAGGGCAAAATAAATCTATATTCAAAAATCTTCAGTTGGCAGTAAGAATGTATCAGAGTTCAACAACCTTGTAAAAAACCTTCCCCTTATCTCATTACTACACCTGCAGAAAAGAAATTAAATTAAACCAAAGCATCAAAACAGCCGAAAGGGATGATTGGTCCCCTGAGACCCTAATCTCCCATTTGCAAACAGCATTTGCAAACTCCTTTACCATCCTTCCCAGGACATACTGATAATAAGCCTTTCCACACCACTGAACGCAATTATCTGACCTTTCAAAGCAGTTTGCCATGAAGTGGTCTAACCTGATAATAAATAGAATTACTTAATGACACATCAGTCATGATTATCACAGTGATAGGATTATTCCATTTAGATTGTTTTAATAAAAAAAAGCAATCCAGTGATTGAGAAGTACCAGTGGTTAGCATGTAAGGTAACTGTATCACCATGCGTATGGCAGGGCTTTGACACTGCTCCCTGCCAGTATTAAAATACAGCATCCCACCTTCACATAACAGATTTTTAATACAGGAAAATGGGCTCTATTCTATCACAATAAACCTGTATCATCTGTAAAAAGTATTAAGCCCATTTTAAGCTAAACAGCAAAAATGCAGAAGAAAAACCGTCAACTGACAAACCCAAAGACATTTCTAGAAGAACCTCTTTGTTTATGCGAGCGACCAACTGACAGCGTGCTTCATCAGGAATATTTTTAAATACATGATGAGGTGGAATACGCTGTATTACAGCTTTCAAGATTAGCAATTTCGGGTTCTGCAGCAAGCTTTCATTTTCTATTCAGGGAATACTGTTGACATGAAAAGTGAAATTACTCAACATTAGTAACAATATGATAACTATAATTTAACAGAAAATCCTCAGCTGGTGTATATCTGTGTATTTCCTTTGACTTCAATGGAACTACACAAATACACCATCTGCTCTGGAACTGGCTCATCACTTACCAGGTCAGCAGTTCACGGACAGACAAAACAAAGAATAAGCGAGTCTAATACTAAGTTTATTATAATTTCATTTCCTTTTTTTTTTTTTCTTTTTCCCCCCATCTTTTATAGTCACATTTGTGTTATAATGCAAGCAAGAATCTTAAAAAAAAGTCTTTCAAGATTTGTTCCAATCCAATATGCTGTGATGATAAAGAAAATTAGAGTACATTTTAGTGGTACATCTTAAGCTTGTTTTCCAATTGTTACAATAATTCTGCAAATGAGTAGTATTTTGAATTCTCTCTGGCAAGTATTTTTCCCATTTCTTTGTGTAAACATAAAAATAAACTAAAGATGAATATACTGGCAAGCAGCAATCAGAAGCAAAGTGGCAGAACATGCCTTCCTTTTAGCTAGCATATAAATGCAGGAGTGATAGCACTGTCTTCTCTCCCCAGTGTTATTATTCATTACCTATAGAATAATCAATTCTAGGCAGCACTGTCTTAATGATGATGCTATCATTTTTAGTAAATGCTGAGAGCGTTTCTTTCTTCTTCCTCTTTCAAGAACAAGGAAACTAACACTGTGGGCAGTTTGGTCACAGTCTAGTTACATGCACGCACACATACACACACACGTTATTTTCTTGTTCCTAGTTAACTTCAAATTAAAAAAAAAAAAACTTGGAAGCTTGTTGATTTATCATGTGTAGCAACAAGTTATTTTGTTCTCTTTGTTACGCTTTTATATAATCATGCTCACAGCCTGTATGAGTGGCAATAGAAATTTTTTGAATGAAAATTATTTCTTGCTTTCATTCTGTGTAATTCCCATCAGTAAGCACCCTGCAATTCTGTGATGCCTTGTGCCAGTGATGCTTAGGGTTTTTTTTTTCCCCTGAATGCCATTTATCTACCCTCATGCAGCTGCATGTTCAATTTATCACCATACCTGCAGGATAATGCTCCCATAAGCATTCTTTAGTAGATTAACCGCATCTGCATGAGACAGCCCATCCAAAGGTTGCCCATTAATACTGACAATCCGATCTCCAACCTAAAAGTACAACAGTAATGGAAAATTACTAGCATTAGGGAAAATTAAAATTAAGAATGCTTAAAATTCCTCGTGAACTTGGCACTGCACAGTCATGCTTCTCTTTTGCAGGATTCCTTTTGTGAGAATTTTGCATTGCTAGTGATCATTTACCATTCTTCAGAGCAAGTACAATATGGATTTTTTTAAAAGTAACAATGCGATCAAGAAACAAAGATGGGTTGTATTTTACTATTTCCATTTGCAAGCAGAGAGTGAGATTTTCACTGCTGTTCTCCCATCCAGAAAGGATTCATTTGTGTCCATATGTGCAGAAAGTTCATATTCTTACAGACTATGTATGCACATGCTGAATGCAGTATAGGAAAGCAGGCATTCCTGATATTAATCTAATTAACCTAGATGATTTCTTCTTCTTATACATAAAAATTACCTTGACCTCAGCACTTAGTGCTATTGTGTAATTCTATTAGAGACATGGCATGAATGTAGCAGTGTATACTAATGAATCTCATGGGCCAAAGCAATCCCATGTATCTGCATAATAAGTTCTTTTCAATACTAACGATTCCTTGAAACTCTCTCCAAAACTGGAAAGTGTTCAGCCATGGTCATTCCTGGAAACCCACATATCCTGTGGGTCTGATACAAATGCTTTATTTTTGGCACTTCTTTATATGGGCCTTAAGATCAAACAACTAACTTCTGCTGGTTTCTACCTGGCTTGAGCTCTAAATGATGCCCAGTCTGCAATCCCCAAAACGCCTGTGGTTTCCAGACAGCCTTCTGCTGCCTTCCCTGGGTCTGGATGAACATATATATTCAAAGACCACTGCAAACACATTTATGTGCTTTCTCTTCATATCACTTTTCCATGTGGGCAACCATTGCCATTATCCCAAGATGCAATACAATCAAAAAGGGAAGAGAAGGGCAGGTTTGGGGGTTTTTTTTGTCTGTTTTTTGGGGGGGGGGTTGTTTGTTCGTTTTTGTTTGTTTTTAAGAGACAGAATAGTCTATGAGACATTATCAAAGTGATGGCATGTAGAGAAGTGTCTGAGGCTCCTTCTCTGTGGGAAACATGGCAGATGAAATAGGAAGTACTGAGAGGACCCCTCTACTCACTCTGAGTCTTTGGGTACGTGCAGCCACACCACTGGCTTGAATCATAGCAATGAAGATGGGAATATCTCCTAATGGACTTCCCTTCCCTCCTGCTATACTGATACCAAGTGCATCATTTGGTCCCTAAAACAAAACAAAAAAACCCAACATTTGCAGTTAGAGCAACTTCTAGAGGTTCAGGGTATAGCAATAACTGACTCATTTGATTTACGGAACAGGGAGAAGATAGATAGGTTTGATAGACACATGCATCCTCATGCACGCACGTCCCATTACATAGGCATGCACCCAACAACCTATTGCAAACATAAATAATGCAATTTTACTTCTGAGAAATGCTACAGAAATTGACAACTTCAGTGAAAGGTGTCAGCTTTTTGAATTGATAGAGAATAACTCACTGACCCTTGTTATCTCCACAGTCCTTGGGCCCGTATCTGCTCCTGCTAATAAAGAAACAAACAATTAGCTTCTGTAATTAAGAGATAATATAATTAAGAGATAACACTGTCAGGTGACAATGGTCCCTTGCTGCCTAGTCAGAGTTATCACCCAGCAGAAGTGGAGCCTTCCTGTGCCAAATCAGGCAGTGCTGCTCACGTGAGGAGGATGGGATTTCTGTTTCACCCAGAGAAGAATACGGATGTAATCACTCCGGCTGACGGATGCCACCGTGACGCCCATTGTAGCACAGCCACTGCTCACCGCAATCTATTGAATAGCAGCACTCTGTTGGCCTGAAGAAAAGTCCTATTGTGCATTTCACTCAATTAAAAGATTGGCTTATTATTCATAAATCACAGTGTCCCTACCACAAAGGGGTAGGGCACACGGCTGGTTTGAGGCTGTTGAGACATTGATTTCCTCTTCTAATTTGTGCTGTATTAGTAAATAATAGACAGCCAGGAAGTCTGGCTGGCGTATATCTAGCCATGGGCCATTTGAAAGTACTCAAAACATTAAAAAAAAAGAAAAAAAAGAAAAAAAAAAGGGACACTTCAAAGGAATTATTCAAACTGGGACTAAACAGCCTAACAAGCTGATGGTGTAGTCAGGTCCTGGGCTCTGCTATATCAACCCCTAATTCTACCAGCTTTAATTAAACTATTTTAAGAACCTTTTAGAAGGCAGGCAGAATTAGTCTCTTTCAAGAGTTAATGATTCTTAATAACACATATCAGTATTTCTCACCGCCACGCACGTGTGCTTGCGCAGATATCTGCTATGAGTACTCAAGGCAGGATTGCTGAGGTGCAGCAAGGTCTGTGGCAGCAGAAAGCCCAGCCCTGGGGACACTGAATCAGGGCATGCAGACATGCACTCTCACTGCTGCAGGGCCCTTCAAAATGGCACAAGGAAGGCTGCCCAAAAAGCCACAGGCTTCCTCCAGTGCATGCAAACTGGCAGAAGAAACGTCTTCTACTTCTGCCCACAGTCAGACATGAGCAAAGGTTACCAATTTCTGACATAGGTCAGAGCACACAAATGCACAGGCTCTCCACAAGCTACTGCAGGTTGTAGATTTAGCACTTGCTAAATCTGCAAATTGTAAACTGAGCATTGCGACTTTCTCATTACAAAACACCCCTTTATACATTCAAGAGCAACAAAGATATAAATGAAGTGGTGGCAGCTTTATTCCCTGAGAAAACCGTTTCTAATGCAAGAACCTTGCCTGTGCTAAGCCTCCGACAAGGGCGTTGGGGAATAGCAGGGCACAGGAATTCTGCACTTAAAATAGAGTAGCCATTACTCTCCTATAGACATAAAAATAATGTCATCTGCTGGAAAGTGTTCGGGTCTTAAAATATCAGTGGTACCTCTTCTGGGAGGCTGAATAGGAAAACCAGATTCAAGTATTCAGCTTTGCTTTTAAACCAGCACAAACATAAAACAAATAACATGCAGTTATTCTGACAGCTGCCCAGATTATACCTGAGTTTCTCTGAGACGCATCTGCTGCAGATCTTTTCGTGCTGACAAAATTCTGTAAGGTAGAGAGGACTGGAGCAAGTGCTGGGTGGAAGTGGCTATGGACACTCTGTTGGCTTGCCTGAAGTTAAAAAGTAAATCAAAACCTGTGAGTCAATCCCAAACGTTAACTTTAAACCAGTTCCTGCAACATATGGGCACAGCTCTGCTCTGTGCCAACCAGACTGGAAATACCACATCAGCCATCTTAAGGAAGTAAGATTAACACCCTCCTCTGCTTATTTCCAGTGTGTCCTCCGAACCTGAGGAGAAGGGGAGATGGCAATTGCTGCTAAAGCTTGTGGGCTTCTTCCCCAGGATGCACCCTGCAGACACCTCACCCTACAATGAGCATGCATGAGGCACCCAGCAGCTCCTCTCCCACAAGGTGGGGTTAACACTTACACCCATCTTGTTACATGGCAGTAATCTACAGGCTTTGTTATTTTAGCTGAATATATTGTCTGATTACGAGGTCCTGTGATTGACCCTGCTCCTTTCATTTGACCAAGAATCTATTCTTATTTCCAGAATAACGTGCCAGGTGACAAAAGGGAGAGTGTCTGAAGATAGCTGCTCGTGCATGTTACCAATTCTCGGCCATCCATTTTCAGCCCTCCTTTTCCCTATCTCCGTATCTGGCTTTATCTTCAGACTCTGCCCCTCGAGGAAACATCGTTAGCAATTTAGGAAGTGTGTCTGAACAACAGGTTTCACTGAGGGCCAGGCCTTTTCAACTAAGCTGCCTTACACACAACAAAGATCTGGTCTATACTTCTCTGTCCACAGCAGAGCTTTCTCCCTCTAAATGCATTAGGCGGTGAATCAAAAGCTCTGGCAGCATTATCTTAACTGACCAGTGTGCAGCTGTCAGTGACGAACAACAGGCAGAGCACGATTTCCACCTCTAGTTGCCAATTCGTGGGTCAGTTAACATAATTTGCAATGCACGTGAAAGAAATCACTGTCCTGCACCAGAAGGCTTATATTTCTACCGTTAAAGGTATGCAATGGAGCAAGAAAAAAGCCAAGTGAGGACAAAAGTTCTGGATGCTCTTGGCCAGCAGCTTCTAAAACATCGCTCGCAGTTGTGCAAATCATTCAAGCTGATTTGCTGTATTATCTGCCAAGATTTTTCTAACTCTTGGAACGGTTTTGCTGAGAAACATTTATTCAGTTTTCAAAATCACCAAGTCACTTAGGAGCAGTGAGATGAAGGCTCTCAGATGATTCTGCATTAAGAACAGCAAGTAAGATTTCTTGTGCTAAAAGAAATACAGAAATTACCAGGTTCCTGCAAAAGCCTCTTATGCTACAAAGAAAAAGGCATGATGATGTTTGATCTGATTTTTTACCTAGACTCATGTTAGATACTATGGCATTTTGCTTCCCTTTCAGCTATGAGTTTTCCATAGTAAAACTGGGTGGATAATTTTTAACCGTCACTTTCTGATTACACTGCTCTTGCTTAGGCTAGCTGTTGATACAATGATCAGAAAAAAGTAATACTCGAGACTGCTGTCTTTACTTAATGCAATCAGCATAATTTTCCTCTGTTATTTCATTTCTCCTTGCCTGCTGCATGCAGTGCAGATGTTTCTCCAATGATACTTAGCCACTATTTTTAAAGCTGGGTTTAGCCCAGCTGTTCCTGCATGGCTTTAGCACTTCCTGATACCTCACCCACCCAGACAGCAGGCTGGATGACTGCTGGCCTTCAGAAAGTTAAGTAATCATGCCACGTGACTATGGTTTTGGCACCTTTTTTGGGTTGTTCATGCACGACATCAAGGACAAGCCTCCCCTCTTACTGACATCCTTTAACCTACATCCCTACTAAGCCTCCTCCTTTCTGTTTCTAAGACCAAGCCCTTCTTCTAGCATTTATGGTGGCTGGGCTGGATCCCTCCGATGTGCAGCCTCCCCAGCCTGCTCACATATCGGTGTGAGAGGAAGACGTACAGGCAATGTCCCCCGGGTCCCTGACAGCTGCTCCTGGGCAAAGAGGGGGCAAAATATTCTAGAGCAATAGCACTGCTGTGAACCACAGCTGGTCTCTCTCAGGGACACTGGCAACTTAAATATCATGGCAAAACAGTCAGTCTTCAGAAGGAAAATCCATTAAAAAAGTTTTCTAAGTCATCTTGCTGCCTTCTCCCTTGCAGTACTTGGACTTTAATGCTAACAGTATCAGTGTCTGAGCTGATTTGGGGGTGTGGGGAGAGCGGAAAAGCCCTGCACTGATTGAAAAATGAATTGTTGTCCTTGCCTCAGGTAAAAAGCAAGTGAAGCAGGAAATTGCTCTGTGTTTTCTTTGAGAGGAAAGCAGCTCTCATGTGGTTGTGCCATAAGATAGGCAAAGATACAGTTCAGTTTCATTAACTCATTTTGATTGACAAAACAGCTGCAGAAAACACATTCAGCATTTTTTGCAGGTCTAAAAAAGTTTCTGGGCGTCATCATTTGAGAAAGATATTATGTATTTTTGGTGTGTCTCAGGAAGACACTCCTTAAACAAAAAAATACATTAACTAGCTCTTCTATTTAATCAGCATTTCAGCATGACACTTACTTTGCAATTCAGCACAGAAAATTATTGTGATAAAATATTTTGTTCCACATCCTCATCAGTAAGTGTCTATGGAAGGACTCAGCCTCACGTGCACCCCTGTGCACTGTCCCCATGCCTTGCCCTTCACAGCTCCATTTTACAGGTACAAATTTGTCACTAACCTGACTGTTTTCAGATGTTTTCCGTGATGATAGCCATGATCCAGCTCGCAATCTCCCAAGCTCAAGATGCACTAGGCCTTGGGCACACTTGGAAAAAAACCCACAATGTACAGCATTTAAGTAGACATACAATATTTCATGCTCTCCTGGAGAGAATTATGTTTATATTCAGCACTACAACTCCCTGAAGAAAACCACAAGGAATGCTCAAAACATTAACATTTGTACTTAGACAACACAAAAATACCCGTCCCTGAATTTAGGTTTATCTTGAAGATTTATCTTGGTTGCTGAAGTCCGTATGAATCTTCCTACTGGCAAACTGTAGATGGCCAAATTACCCAGTAAAAATAAACAAAAAGCCCCCAACTCTTTAACAGACGTTTGCCATAAACAATATGCATGAAAGAAAAACTTCAGAGGAAATACGCTGCAGAAAAGGGGTGAATTTAACACATATGGATTCAACTTAATAATATACACTCATATCACCAATTTCCAATTCTTAAATAGGTAAACTTTTGGCCCCCTGAATTCCACCTGAATGGAAAAAGCAAGGAAAATAATTAGCCTTTCCCTTCAAGAATGAAAGAAATCAGATGCAGAAACACTAGTGGTGATGGCAGGGGGAAAGCCCCTGTCTCCAGATGCAGTTTTGAATAGAAATGGGTCTGCAGCGTTGCTCCCACCCATCCTTTCATCCTTGGTACGGGCTGTCGGGCCTGGGAACCGTATGGAGGAGCTAACATCAGGCACTCACAGCCAGGCCATCCCCTGCCCTCTCCTCTGGCTCAAGCAGCCACACGTTTTCTGATGGCAAAAAGCAAATTCTCCCAGACTGCACAACTTCAGAGTATAAAATCACTCCTGTGAGATGGAAAGGTGTGCAGAAACGGATTTAAGTTGCCATTTTATAGCTGCAGGTTAGTGCAGCAAAGCCAAAGGCATTTGATTTCAGTTCTGATTTGTATGACTCTCAGGTTTCCAAATATTTTTCTAACATATGAAACACACAGTTGCATTTTCAAATAAATGCCTAAATACTACATGCGTCTCTGTTTTCCTACTTCACATCATCCCACTTCTAAATATACATGGGTAAGTGATTTTAAATGAATCTTCCAAAGTTATTTCAGATGAAATTCCTGTCTTGGCAATCAGTTTGAGCTGTCCTGTGTATGTGTAAACAGCACTTCAGGATAATTGCCTTGCATAGTGTCAGTAACTGCAATTCAATATCTTAAAATGTATTATGTACTCACCTTAAGTATAGTGGCAACAGTCTCTTGTGAGGCATTTCTCATATCCTCTCCATTTACAGACAAAATCTGATCTCCTTGAATTAATCTTCCATCTAGGTCTGCAGCTCCTCCTTTAACAATGTCAGAGATAAACACTCCACTTCCATTTCTAACAATGCAAGAAGCATATGGCTAATTACACAATCCAATATTCTTTGGGAGACCAATTTAGATTACTTGCATTTAAGAGACATTAAAAGAAACCTGTGAGCAGAGGAAGAACTAGTTTTACACCCCATTCAACCATTTGAGAGTAAAAAAATCTACGCATTTTAAAACCAAGGCATGTTTTGCTATATTTAATGCTGTCTTTCCCCTTGAACCATTAGTTCTGACTGTATGATCCATAAAGATTCATGAAAAATACCACTTGTATGAATAAAAAGTCAAGGATCAGCCTAAGATGGAGATAAACTATCTCCTGTTGTGCCTGATATGAATTACGCAGCCTCAGATTTTTTTTTTTCCTATATTCTCTCTAAAGGTTCAGCTCAGTTTCTTTTCTATAAGCCTGGAGGCCTCCAACAGAAGAGCAGGGACAAGTCTGCAGAAAAGACTTTTACAGTTTGCACATGAGTTATGCAGCAGAAAATCCAGCTTTGTGGCTGTCCGCCTGCAGTGGGCAGAGAGGCTTGCGAGAGCAGCAGCCCACGCAGATGGGTGGAATGTATTTATTTATCAGCTCAAGCCTCCTCACAGGGCAGTCCCCTCCCAGAGGCTGTAGGACCCCTCTGTGCTGGCCCCAGCTCCTGGGGCTCACTATGGTGTGAGCTGGTGCTGGCTGCAACACCAAGATTTGGCATTTGGTACCCTTCAATCTGAAGGGCACAACACTTCACGATCTGAATTATACCCGAGTATCATTTAATTGACTTCAGAAATTGAGCTACCTCTAACGTGGAAATCTCCACAAGCGAAGCACTTAGCAATAGCACAGAAAGTTTTGCAGAGAAGCAAATGCGGAAGGGCTGGAGACTGCGATTACCATCTGTAGGGTAATTTACATAAGCTAAATTAATTACCCTACCCACAATCTGCTCACAACACCTGGGTTAAACATCACCACTCTTGTAAAAAACTGCTGCAGAAACTTTACTGACCATACACAGTCAGGATAATGACATGATGATTTGTAATTGAGAAAATAAATTTTTTTGGCAATACAGAATAGCAACCATATGACTCTTATGCACCAACACTGAATGAGTGCTCACCAGTGTCATGCCATAAATCTCTTCTAGCAATGAAAGATTAAATCTATCAGTGCTCTGGTTCGAAAGATCTAATAGCAATGGTTTAGAAATACATCAGTAAAAAGTCACATTTTATTAAGCAGCTGTTACTTACCACTGTATCTCAGGTTCAGCTCTGTACTCACAGAACTGCCGTGTACAGTGCTGTACAGTGACTTTGATAGTGTTCAGGATTTGGGTCTAACTCAGCCTCTTAGCTTCCACTGACATTGGTCCCTTTGAACCTGAGTAGGAGCTAGATCTAACTCACAGATCCATTTTCAAAGGCATATCCTGCTATTTGGAAATAAGAAGGTTTCTCTCCCCCTTTTGAAATCAGGAAAGCCATGGTAAGGGCTTCCAAGCCCTGAGACACAGCTATGCTGAAGCCAGCAGAACAGTGAGCTCCCAGCTCTGCATGTGCCCACCTGGCCACACTTGCTCAGAGCAGGACATCCGCTCTGTGCTGGGAGCCCTCCTGGGCAGCAGCACCCTTTGCTACACACGTATGTCATCGTTCTGATAGAGGAGCCAGGACCACAGCCCTGTGGCAACCTTGAAATTATTTAGATCCAAAACTTTGTTGCTTACAACCTTTTTCCTTTATTTCATATTCCGTTTAGTGGCTACAGCTGTTCATATGGCAAAAAGCAAAATATTTCTCATTTGAAGTGCAGTCTGATCAAAGAGACACTCACCGTTTTCCAGCTATACTGAGCCCTAGTCCTCGGCCTGTTTTCTTTTGTATATCTACATAGAAAATCTCTAAGTTTTCTTCATCTTTGTAATGTGCTTCATCTCTGTAAACAACCAGCTGCACCTTCTGGGGCGTCTGTCTCAGTGCAGTGATAGCTTCTTCATGGCTGGCATTCCGCAGATCGATCCCGTTCACCTGAAATAATCAGTGCTTTCTTTCCAAATGACATGTATAAATGATCTTTTCATCACTCCCTACCCTTGTGTGACAGGACAAATTTGTCAAATTGACACCCCTCGCCACTCTAATTTAGCACTCCCATTTCCAGAGAGCTGAGCTCCTGGATCTCCTACTGAGCGTGAGTTCAGTGCTTTGTGCCACTGCCTGGAATAAAAAACAATAATCAAAACATTTTGGCTTGTAAGTTTTGTGGGTGTTCTTCCCTTCTTTTTAAATGCTGGAACCTGAAACAATGCTTCTTTCTTACAGCTAGACAAAGTGGGACTTGCTCCTTTGAGCTTCCCACATCTCTTACTGCTCAGATTCCTTCTCCCCTGGCTTTATAACATCGCCAAGCCGAAGACAGAAGGAATCAAACATTAGCAAATGGCAATGGCGAAGCCTAGGCAGGACATATTAAATGGTTGTTTTGTTTTGTTCCAATAGATGGCACACAAGACCGCTCCTGGAGCACTCAATTACATTTCTTTTACAATAACCTGAAAATGTTTTAGCATTTTTAGTAATATCAGATTGAACAAGAATTTCTGATTGAATGCCGAAGTATTAAAAAAACCTATTGCAACTTGAAACTTAATCTCCTAATTCTGCCAGGCCTGATTCACAGATGCCCTTTAAGGTGTTTGCCAATATTCTGTTGACAAAATCATCTTTTATTTGTGAATACCAAAAAATATCAATGCTTAAATATTTTTGAAGTCTCTTTAGGAAGTAGCATTAACTGTAACTGAATAACAATACAATGTTAATCCACTTACATAACATAGTAAGTTTTAAGGCAATGAAAATATTTCTTAGTATTTCTAGATATGCAAAGTTATAATCATACTTAGTTTTACATTAAGATAATTAAGCCTAATCTATAGTAATTATGTACTTTTGTACTAATTCTGCACACATTTATTTATATAATGCATTGGTATTCTTTTCTCGACACAGGAATCTGTGTGCTTTATCATACCAATCTGAAACTAATTCAGAGTCATCTTTCTGATTCATTAGTATGGCTTTTAAAAGCTGAAATAATAACAATATTATGGCACACAAACATTAGCACTTTCCTGTTTGGCCAGAGGAGAATTAATTAACCTTCCCCATTTTTATCCCCTAATTATTGTGCTCTGTTAATATACAGTTATTTATAAAACAAAAACAACATTCAGCCTTAACACTAAAAAAAATATTTTCAGTGCAAGAGCTGTAAAGACAACTCCCCAAGTACCCCTCGCTATTTTTCTAACCCTACACACCAAAGCCTTAATGGCCATGCTGGGAATTTGTCCTGATCTGACAGCAAGAGGCTGCAAGCAGCTGCGCTGAACCCCTGCCTGACACAGGTTTCATTTGCAGACCAACACTTCCTTCTTAACCCTTTCCCTCCTCAATTTCCATGCTTGTCTGTGGGAAAAAAACTACATTTATTCACAGAAATAGTTCTGTGTGTTCACCAGTTTTATGAACCGTGGCCTGAAGGAGCCGGTAGCTCCCCAGCAATGCCGCAGGCAAGCACGGTGCGTTTTTCAGCAGGGATGCTCGCAGAGATGCTGCAGCCACCCTTGCCGTCTCACCCTGTGTTTGCTAGGCTCAGAACTTCGTTTGCAGCCAACGCAGAGATACTGAAGTGGCGGCGGTAGTGCAGGCCTCTGAATGAAAGATTAAACAGATGAATAATACTGAGCTATTGGACATGACAGCTGAACTATGTAATTCAAGAACTGCCTTGCTCAATTAAATTTAATATATTCTCAATTTGTACCTTCAGTTTATATGAATATATAAGGAAATATGAATTTGTCAGGATGTTCTTAGTGACAGAAAAGAAGCTTCAAGAACAGATCCTACTAAATGATCTCTCTTTCCCCTACAAGAACCCTACACTGTGTTGAATACAAGTATACCTGACAAAGATATAAGCAAGCACACACAGAGAGAGACTCGTTTACCTCCAGAATCTGATCGCCGGCCCAAAGCCTGCCATCTCGGGCTGCTGCCCCTTCTTCATAAACTTCATGGATCACTATGGCGTCCTGCGGGAAGAAGGAGGTGGCGTGAATCCTCCCTCCCAAACACCCCGCAAACTGGCAGGCACAACCCACCCCACACAGCCCACCGCTCTGCAGTACAAAGGCATATAGCACTCTGTCAGGATAAGCAAGACTGTAACACTGATTTATATTTTTTTAAGTATTTTGGGATAAGACTATTACTCTTGCAATCACCATACAGATAGCTAATAAAAAGGTAAAAAGAATTTTGTTCGCCACTTCAGGGTAGTCTTGTCTAGAGCTTCTTGGGCTTCCATCATTTTTACACATTGGCATCAGCAGTATGTGAACTCAGCGTGAACCGTTGTATTAATATCGTCTACTTTTTATGATATTATTTAAAACCAGATTCTTTGGAGCTATGAATATTTTTAGGGACTTGGCATAGATCTCTGCTTTAAGCAAGAACTGAATGCCTTGTGGTAAATAGCGCTGGTTAAATCTGCAAGAAATGAAATCCAGAAGAAACGAACAATGGCAAATGTTAGTTTATTACTGAGGTTGGAAAATGTAGGCAGTGGCAGATGTAGCTTCAGGGAAGGTTTCAGTGATTTAATCTTATTGCCAGCAATAGATGTCCCCAAAGAAAAAGCATTACAAAGAACATACTGTTCTCTTGCTGGTGCTTTCCCTTTGCATTGTTCTGGTCTGTTTCTTTATTTTTTTTTCTGAAACAAATAGGTGAACATCCTGCTGCAGTGCTTCAGCTGCAGTCCTGACAGCTAGCAGGATGGGACACTTCGCTATGCAAAATGTGCTCCTCTCTCCAATGTCACTAGCAAACACCCGGGCTCGGAGCAGAACCGGCTTCACTACGAACTCTAAAATGGCTCTGGATAAATACACGGTGATTTTCAATTAGATACGTAGGTATCGGATAACCCGTTCTCAGAGACATACACCCTCCAAAACCGCTACGGTTGTGAAGTTCCTTCACCAGTTTGACATACAAATCAAAGTGGAGACTTTCTGCAGCGTTTGCAACAAAAGGCAGTAAGGTTAGCAGCGTGCGAGCCCCGCTGTGCACTGTCTTCCTGGAGCACGAGCAGGAAATAGCTGCTGGGGTAGAACAAAGTACCTTCGTGTTTTGAAAACACTGTTAGATACTACATCTCTCATCACCAAGTTAACTCCCCCCATGTTGCCTTGCGATCCTTTCCCAGCACACATGGTGCATGTTGAACAGAAAGAAAAATCAAATGCCCTTAAGCTAGTGCTCTGATCAAGACAACATCGAGAGCATTATTCTCTTTCATTCCCACTACACCTTATTTAATGATGTGGACTTGTATCTACAGCCGCTCTGCTGCTGGAGCACAGCACCACTGTCACAAGCTTCCTCTTTAATACATACACACCAGTCACTGAAAAAAGCCTAGAGGATTTTAATCACAAATGGATTACAGCTGATACAAGCAACCCAGATGGGGAGGAGGGCGGGGGGAAGATTTCAATCTACATAAATGAAGGCAAAATACTATGAGCTGTGTAACAAGGTAATTAAGAAAACCAAAAGAACAGTTTGATTAAAAAAAAATTATATATACACACACACACACACACCCCCACTGGCAACTGCAGGGTTTCCTTGAAATAACTGAAACAGCTATTACCAGTGGAACAGAGTAACACGCGCATGCCCATCTCGGCAGCACTGCCGAAATCCTCTGCTATGTGTCTTAGATCTTCTCTCAGTTGTGGGGTTTTGGTCGTTGTGGGGTTTTGTTTGTTTCGTTTGGGAGGTGGGGTGGGTTACCTTTGTTTTAGAAATGATCACATAACTCTAAGTCAACACAAGAGACTTTTGCCTGGGTGAAAGCCAGGAGGGTGACAGTGATGTATATTTTTTCACCTCAGGCTGATCATGGGTAACTTTGAGAAAAAGCTGAGTCTGTGGTTTAGAACTTCCACAGCACACTTCACTTTTAGTTTTTTAAACACTTTACAAAGGCAGGCATTTAGAAGTGGCCAACAAGATAACACAAAAAAAATCGACCAGCTTGTTAAGACAGTATCATTCCACTAGGACACACTAGGGCAGTGGATGAACATGAGGTTTGGTAGAAAAATGGCAACGTAACCATGTAACAGCAGACTGGACACATACACAAAATGGTCAAATCAAACACTTTCAGATTGTATTTAATCTGGTATTTCCTAACCTCTGAGCAAGGAGCTTTCAATCACATTTCTTTAAGTTTGCTTTCCATCTGCGGTTGCTTTAAAAATGGTCAACAAACTGAGGTTACCAGCTTTTCCCAGTGCTGCATTATTAAATGTAAAATTGCACATACCAAAAGCTCAGATTCAGGAACCACTGGATGTTATCAGTTTGAATAATCTGCATCATCTATTTGAAAATGCAACAATTCAGTATTTACACTGTGGTTCCTGCATGTGTTAGAAGCCAGACCTAGGACTAAAAATACACATGGCATGAAAAGGTACATTTCTGTTTGGTCTGTGCCTACCCCAAAGAAGGAAACATCTCGCTGACCTGCCAAAGCACTGTTTTCCTTAACTAGGTGGTTTTTTTTTTAAAGTAGTGTAGTTGAATCATGCTTATCAAATTGATTAAAAACAGAATGAAGCAACGTGGCCATGATGCACTGTAAAGATTTTTAAATAGTCCATAAACACAAATGAGAGTCGTACTTTCCTTATCTTATAAACTATGACAAACAAGCATCTTTCCTCTGATACTTCTGGGATCAGCTCAAAGTACATTTAACCCAGAAGTAATCTTTTTCCATTGGATCCAGTGGGATCTGGATAAAACTCTGTTAGTTTTGATCATCCATGACAAATCACTAAAAACAAACTACTGATGTTATCGAGCATTTTAAATTATATCAATATTTTAAAGAAGTTTATGCAGGAATGAGATGTAATGTCACACTCCAACCATCTAAGCAAGCCCTAATCTGTAATGGCTCTATTGACATGCTATGGATTTAAGCTGTAACAGCCCTCTCAGTTCCTCAGAAAAAAAATAGGATCTATCACGACTAAAACAATCAAAGCATTTATTTAAACATTGGGTTTTGGCTACTGAACATCTGCAGTTCCTGCTCACTAGCTTCCTATTCAAGTTGTATGCTTGGTATCTCTAGAAGTCAAAGCCTAAAGAGTTCAAAGTCAATCAATCGAGAGGGAAGAAGGGAAAGCGGCATCGATGTTCAACTAGAGGTTGTGAATTCATGGTGGCTCTGGACAGATTTTCACTCCCATCCCTCCCCATCTCCTTTCACTACCAGTTTCATATAGATTATAGCACTCCATGATATAGCTTGGCAGAGTCACAAAAACAGTTTGTGCAGAAGGGGGAAATAAAAACACTCTCATATCAAGAACACAGTTGTTTAAAGAAAGATATCCAGCTGCTGAAAGCACATACTTCATAAGGTTTACAAATCCATTCAACAAATTGGAGCTTTAATCTTTGCATATTTTGACAAAGAATAGTCTGGGACCATTATACAAATTGGGAATTAATGCAAAGTTGAACATTTCTTGTATGGGATGGAAGGATGCAGAATACAAGCCAATACAAGGGCATATAAACAGTGTTTTTCTATGGTAAACAAAGTCCATGCTCACAGGTGTAAACTTAGACTATCTGACCGCGAAAACACTGAAAGACAAAGAATGGAATTTGTCTGCTACTGCTGAGGTTGAGGTTGCTGTCCTGGGATGAATAATGCTTATATTAAAGGCTATTGAAGGGCCTGCAGCCCAGTGAAATGAAGCCAAATGCATAAATACTATCTATACTGCATGGCTAAAAAAATACTACTACTACTACTAATAAAAAAATCACCTGCAAGCCAGAATAGTTCCCTGGTTTGTATATGATGTGCACCAAATCTGCTAACAAGTGGTAATGCGTACCAAACATGCCATGCAGTATACTAGACGGTATTTTGTAAGCTTCAGATCTGAGCTGTGGGGATTTGAGCTGTGGGACAGCTACACCCCTCACTCTCACTTTACTAACAGAATACCACTGTGATTGCACGGCCTTCTTGAGCAAAGGGAAGGCACATGAGTGACAACTCTCACACTGACTCTGACAAAACGAGGTTTTGGAAGAAAAGGCAGACAAGTAGAAAACTTCATGTAGCCTCTTGGTCGACACCTTGACGAACAACGCTGGTGCAGGGCGAATGACTACTGAACAGTGAGAGCAAGACAACCTTACAGAAATTAGCATCCCACTCTGAGAAACCACTTACGGAAAATACAACTTGTGAAATGTGCAGTGTGATCTACATTGCATCGCCTTCTATCTGAGGGAGGGGAATAGCCCTGAACTCTCAGAGAATCAGATCTCAACTCCCCCCCAAGCTGTGGATATTTTTTCTGCTTGATTTATAACATCTTCAGAGACCCGGCAGGGGAAGAATATCAACTCATCATCAACAGAGCACACAAATAGAAATGCTAACATTAAGAATTAAATTCAGTAAGAGTGACAGCTTAATCTTTGTATCTTAAATGTCAAGAACTGGTATGGCAGAGACCCCAGGCAATGACCACATAGCACGGTCTTGATTGAGCCTTTGGGAGAAAGGTGGTAAAGTCAGCTTCCTATTCAGGAAAATCACTGACCAAGTGAACCTTAAAAGCCTGCAGGACCATAAACAGTGGTGAGAAAGTCTCACAAGTTGTCTGGCTTTAGGCTTGGACTGCTCACATGTTTGCTGCAAGTTTATAGCTTCTGAGCCAGTCTCTCTAGTGTTTCTTTTCTTCTATGCAGCTGTTCTTCAGAAGGACAAGCAGCAGCTTTCAGTGCAGGTGCCCTTTGCCACTGAAAATCAGCCCCCAGACTGTTATTTGCAAATGCTGGGAGTAGAGGGTGAGGGAGTAAAAGGGCACAAGACATGAAGGAGTCTCAAACATTAAGTACCATGGATATTTTGGTGAAGTTGTATCATGTGATAAAAAATTGGAACAGTATGCAAAGAGGGGAGATTTCAAAA